AGCCCAGGCCTAGTCAAAGCCCAGACATAGTCAAAGCCCAGGCCTAGTCAAAGCCCAGACATAGTCAAAGCCCAGGCCTAGTCAAAGCCCAGACATAGTCAAAGCCCAGGCCTAGTCAAAGCCCAGGCCCTTAATCAGCTCTAAATCTAGATGATGGTCTGAGGTTTTTGTTCTACCCCTACAGGAAGTAGTCTGACTCTGAGCCATGAGCAGAACCCCTGATGCTTTTCAGTCTCTGTGCAGGTGGGCACATTTGGGCCGGGCTGCCTGAAGAGGTGCGACTGTGTCCATGGCAGCGGCTGCCAGGCAACCAGCGGGGAGTGCGACTGTCTGCCAGGCTGGATGGGTGAGTAATGACATGTTTAGCTTTCTTTCAGAGGAGGGGACCAGGCGGATGGAGGGATTTTCAGAGTCCATCTAAGACCGGAACCAAAACAGCAGACATCAGATCGCAGCCAGCAGGCATGCTAGCATAGCAACACCTGATAAGACATGAACAATCAATCCCAGAACCAGTCCTACAGAAGGAAGACTGATGCATATAAAACATTAAAGAAGACACTAAATTAATCTCCAATTCTTTTACTAGATCTAAAACATTTTATCATTGATTTATTTGAGATGAAAATCGATCACAATAAACCGTTTTAAAAGCCTTTCATCTTTAATCAAAGGCAAAGCTTCAATAATCTGGTGGCATAGCTGTTAGCACACAGAGACTAATCTATTGGTGCTCGTCATCAAAACCGTTTATAGATGTATATCATACAGACTCCTCACTGTGAGGAATTCAGCTCCAAAGCAGCAGCAGCAGCAGCTCAGACCAATGAAACCAGCTTTCCGTCCTCTTCTCCACAGCAGAGGGAGAAAAAACAAAGATGAGTGACGACTTCCTGCCTTTTACCCCCAAACATCCTCCAACTGTTTCCATGGTAACGACTAGCTATACTGTCGGAGGGGAATATCTGCAGACTTAATCTGGACAATGTTCATTTCCAGTGCTAGACTGATGATCTCTGATGAGAAATAAGCCACCATCTGTCATCTCTGAAGCTTTGATCTGAGCTTGATCTGATAACTAAATATCTATTTTAAATCAGAAACAGACTAATTTGATACATTTTCAAACTTTTTAGATTCTGTCCCTTTTATCATCGATTCCACCAATTTCCGAAATGGAGTAACACACAGTCTTGTATTGGTAAAACCGATAGTATAGTTTTAATGTTTCCTTAATAATAATAATGATGCATTTTATTTATAAAGCACTTGTTATCATAGCATTTTAAAAACAGATTTCAGCGTGCTGAAAAAGAAAAGTTACAGCAAATAGTTTCAGTGAAATATGCAGTGGAACAACAATAAAAAAATAAATAATAAAACTATAAAACAAGTTTTTAAAATTGTTAGAAGAATATGGAGCTCTGAGGTCATTCCTCATCGGTGGAGCTCTGTCTCCCAGGGTCCTCAGCTTTTTTCTGGGGTGACTGAGGAGTTTTTTAACATATGTGTTACATATGTGAGGAGACAGATCTTATATTGAATATGTAATGCTAATTCCTGCATATGGGCTCTAGCTAATCAGAGCTAAACCAACAGTGCAGGAAATCAGAGTGTGGTCTGAGGGGGCCATGGAGATACTCCAGGACTGTTTTAGATGCTCTGACTGGAACATGTTCAAAGCTGCAGCAACCTGTGACAACAAGATCAATATATAGAAGTATGCCATGACTGTGTCAGCCTACATCAACAAATTCATTGAGGATTCTACATGCTGAAGGCCCTCTCTATGGTGCTTCTACAGAAGCACCATAGAGAGGACCGACAGGTCAGGTCCTCGGAGATGTGGACTCCCAGGAACTTAAAGCTGTCCACACGCTCCTCTGCTATCTCCTTGATGTGGATGGGTGGGTGTAGGTCAGCGATCCTCCTGATGTTTATGATGAGCTCCTTGGTCTTCTCTGTGTTCAGCTGCAGGTTGTTTTTGTCGCACCATTCAGCAGGACGGTCCACCTCCTCCCTGTAGGCAGCCTGATCGTTGTCTCTGCTGAGGCCAACCACCGTGGTGTCGTCTGCAAATTTGATGATGGCTTTAGAGCCATGGACAGGTCTGCAGTCGTGGGTGAGGAGAGAGTAAAGGAAGGGACTCATCACACAACCTTGTGGCACTCCGGTGTTTATAATGGTGGTGGATGAGCAATGGTTGTCTAGCCGAACATGTTGGGGTCGACCGGTCAGGAAGTCGAGCAACCGGTTCCACATGAGTGAACTGATGCCGAGGTCTGTGAGTTTGGTAATTAATTGTGATTGAATGACAGTATTAAATGCTGAACTAAGGTCTAAGAACAGCATTCTGGCGTAAGGGTTCCTGCTGTCCAGGTGAGAAAGGACAGAGTGCGAAGCTACGGAGACTGAATCCTCTGTGCTTCTATGCTGCCTGTTAGGGTTAGGGTAACCCCATTGTGCAAATTGGTTGGGGTCCAGTGTGGGGGGGGTGCAGGATCTGAGGCGTGCTAGGACCAGTCACTCCAAGCACTTGGTGAGATGGGGGTGAGAGCTACCGGGCTATAATCATTGAGTCTGGTTGGGTTAGAATTCTTGGGGATTGGGACGATGGAGGTAGACTTGAAGCAGGTCGGTACCACAGCGCGGGCCAGGGACAGGTTGAAGATGTCCGTCAGCACTCCTGCCAGCTCCCCAGAGCACGCTCTGAGGACACGTCCAGGTATGCCATCAGGACCCGCAGCCTTTTTGGATTTAATCCTTCTCAGAGCCGCTCCTACATCAGTGCAGAGGAGAATCAGTGGCTGTTGGTCTGGGAAAGTGGTGCCTGGGTTGCAGTTGTAGTATTCCCTATCTCAAAACAAGCATAGAAGTTGTAAAGCTCATTGAGGAAGGAAACATCAGAGGAGGCGGGGGAGGTATTGGAGTTCTTGTATTCTGTGAGAATCTGAAGACCTTGCCACATACGTCAAGGGTTGGAGTTGTAAAAGTGATCCTCCACCTTACTTTTGTAGTGGTGTTTGGCCTTCTTGATTCCCCTCTTCAGCTCTGGCCACACCTTTACTGTCCTCACAGTAGGTTTCACATGTTGGATGAGTGGTGAGTATCAAGATGTGAGGAACAGGGAGGGATGGTCTGATTGCACGATGTGGGGGAGGGGTGTCACCTTGTAAGCTTCAGCCAGATTGGAGTAGACATGGTCCAGGGTCTTGCCTCCTCTGGTGTTGCAGGTGTCTTGTTGGTGGAATCTAGGGAGGACTGTCTTCAAGTTGGAGTGGTTGAAGTCCCCCACAACAATAAAAGCAGCCTCGGGTGTTTGGTTTGATGTTTGCTAATGGCCGCATAGAGTTCTTTCATGGCTAGCTTGGCATTAGCATCCGGAGGGGGGTGTACAGAGCAGTGAGGATAATGGAAGTGAATTCCCTTGGGAGGTAATAAGGTCTGCATTTGACCATTAAAGACTCCACATTCTGTGAGCAGTGACTCTCGGTAGTAGCAGAGTCTGTGCACCAAGCTTTGTTAATATAAATGCACAGACCTCCATCTCTGGTCTTGCCAGAATCATTTGCTGTCCTGTCGGCTCGGTGTGTCTGGTGTCCAGTTAGCTGGATAGCATTGTCCTGGCAGCTGTTGTTTAGCAATGTTTCGGTGAAAATCATGACATTTGACTCCGTAATCTGTCTGTCAGTAATGATGGATAATCGTAGCTCGCCCATTTTATTGGCCCGAGAAGGGACATCGGCGAGGAAAATGCCGGGTACAGGAAGCCGGTGTGGCATTAGCTTTAGCCTAGCTCACACCCCTCCACGCTTACCTCACCATTGTTTACGTTCTTGTCACTGCCTGCGTGCACTTCTGCACAGCTGGGAGAAGTTCACAGCCTCCGGTGTTCTAGAGATCTCTGGGATGAGTCGGACATCAGCGATAAAAGTGTCAACATTGTAGCTCCAAAGGTCCAGAAGCTCATGTCTGCTACAGCACAGCAACGCGGTACAGTTCTTTAAAAAAATAATCAGGTGAAAAATAGCTAAAAAAAACATTAAATAGCAGGTCCTGGAGAGACGCTGAGTCTCGCATTGTTCACGCGCCGCCATCTTGCGTAAATGCCATCATTATTGCAGAATTGTCCCTCCCCATGTTTTAAAACAATAAGTGAGCAGATCTGATAGGACTTATTGCTCATCGCAAATCAAATTAACTTTTTTGTTTAACCAACTAGTAGATATTTTTAAAGTTCACCAAAGCTGTTTTATTCCAGTTGCTCTGATTGATGAATATAATCAGCTTGAAATGATTCGCTGTTAGGAAATGGACCTTAAACTGTGGAAAAGGCTGAATGAATGCAGGGATTTGTTCTGTAACTCAGTTTATAACCACTTTTATGAAGATGTGCATCCCCAGCTGCAGCAGAGCTTAGAGCCATTTAAAGCTCCACATGGTGGCGCTCTGTCGCTGCCTTCAGTCTACCAGCAGCTGGGCTCTTCCTCCTCCACCCTCATCCTCACTCCTCCATATTTTCTGCTTTCACCTGCAGTGTTTGACCAGCCAGTCCTGTTTTTCCTCAAACATCACAGGTGGAATTTTGCCTCTTTATTTTATATCTAAATGTCAAATCATTCTGGCTTAAACATGTATATAAATGTAAAATCTTTCT